TTCTGGAGGCCAGAAGGCCAAAATCTAGGCAGTCAGCAGGGCTGTGTGCCTCCAGAGGCTCTGGGGAGGATTCTGCTCCTTGCCTCTTCCAGCTTCTGACAGCTGCCGATGTTTCTTGGCTTACGGCTCTACCACTCCAATCTCTGCCTCTGTGGTAACATTACCCTCTCTTTCTGTGTCAAATCTGCCTCTGGTCCATCTTATAGATATGTGTGATTGCACTAAGAGTCCACCCAGCTAACCCAGAATAACCTCCCTGTCACCAGATCCTGTTTTTGTTGTTGTTTTTTGTTTTGAGACAGGGTTTCACTTTGTTGCCCAGGCTGGAGTGCAGTTGCACGATCTGGGCTCAGGCCATCCTCCCAGCTCAGCCTCCCGAGTAGCTGGGACTGCAGGTACGTGCTACCATACCCAGATAATTTTTGTATTTTTTAGTACAGACAGGGTTTCATCATGCTGCCTAGGCTGGTCTTGAACTACAGGGCTGAAGCAGTCTGCCTGCCTCAGCCTCCCAAAGTGCTGGGATTACAGGCATGAGCACCTCGCCCAGCCTCCAGATTCTTTTTTTTTTTTTTTTTTTGAGATGGAGTTTCGCTCTTGTTACCCAGGCTGGAGTGCAATGGCGTGATCTCGGCTCACCGCAACCTCCACCTCCTGGGTTCAAGCAATTCTCCTGCCTCAGCCTCCTGAGTAGCTGGGACTACAGGCGTGCGCCACCATGCCCAGCTAATTTTTGTATTTTTAGTAGAGACGGGGTTTCACCATGTTGACCAGAATGGTCTCGATCTCCTGACCTCGTGATCCACCCACCTCGGCCTCCCAAAGTGCTGAGATTACAGGTGTGAACCACCGCGCCAGGCCCAGCCTCCAGATTCTTAATCACATCTGCAAAGACCCTTTTTCCAATGAGGTAACATTCACAGCAGGGGTCACCCACCCCCAGAGCACAGACAGTTACCAGGCCACCGCCTGTTAGGAAGCACAGCAGGAGGTGAGCAGCGGGTGAGTGGGCATTACCTCCTGAGCTCCACCTCCCGTCAGATCAGTGGCATTAGATTCTCATAGCAGCGGGAATCCTTCTGTGAATGGCACATGCGAGGGATCTAGTTTACACGCTCCTTATGGGAATCTGAAGCTGGATGACCTAAGTTGGAAGTTTCATCCCGAGACCCTCTTGCCCCCACTCATCCAATACTAGTCCCTGGTGTCAAAAAAGGTTGGGGACAACTGATGTACAGGGACTGGGACATAGATACCATTTAAGGGGGCATTTTTCAGCCTACCACACCATATTTGTCCATTCCTTAATTTAATCCTACACAGACCCTAATTGTGTATGGGCTTTAGGAGCTACAGAAATCAAGAGAGAAATGGACACAGTCCCTGCTCCCAAGAACCTCATGATCACTCCTGTGACCTTTCATACAGGTTCCCAGATACTCTGGTGATAGACAACAGGGGTAAGAGATGGTAAGGACGGCCACAAGGACAATCGCGGTCACTAACCAGCAGCACTGTTCTGACACTTACTTACCTGTGTGTATTAACTGACTCTCACCACAGCCTTTTATCCCCACCTGTAAGTGGGCTGCACAGTCTGTACTTTTCACCTCTCTGCAGGAGCACAGGGGAGAAGTGATCAACGGGGCAAGGAAGGGGTGGTCATGGAAGGTTTCCTGTAGGAAGTGCCACTTCCACAACACAAGGACAGGAATTAGAGAAGGTGGGGGTAGGATTGAGGCCTCCCACCTCCTAAGCAGAGGGAGGCAAGAGAGAGCTTGGCTGCTCCCAGACTAGCGTTAAGGAGAGGCAGGAGAGTGTGAAGACTCTGCAGGATGCCAGCTTAGGCAATGGCAGCCATTGAGGGTTCAGCAGAGGAGGGACCTGATCAAACTTGTTTCTCCTAGAGAAGGAGCTAGAATCCCAACTGTCCCTTCCATATATATTTCCCATTGTATTTCCAGCCTGCCAAGGAAATCTCCTGGAGAAGCAGAGGACAGAAGGGAGACTCCCCGCCTTCCTGCTCTATCCATGGGGACCTCTTGCTTTCCTGGAGCAACCCCCTCCACCCCGAGGTTCCCAGGCCTGCAGCCGGTCCTGACAGGAGTGTTCTCTTGCTGCTTCTGATTGGGGCTGCACTTTGAGCTCCTGGATCAAGGTGTTGGGACCCCTAGTGGTCCCAGGTCCACTTCCAAGGACCCAAGGACTCCGTAAATTGCACCATCTCTGAGGCACCTTTGGATAGGCACTCAGCGGGCCCTCTGCGCTCCTAGAGCCTGTGACCTCAGTGTAGATCGAACCGGGCAATGACTGCCCCCATCAAGTTCAGCAAGTGGCTGCTCCCCTTTCACTGTCTCCCCGGCATTCCCGACACAACATAGGCGCTCATTAAAAATGTGACAACCCCAGAAAGAATGCCTGTGATGTGCCTTGCTGGCCCCGGCAGCACAGCGATGAGCAAGAGACCCGGTGTCATGCCCCCACCTGGCGAGGGAGACAGGCATCCTTCAAACCATCGCCCAAAAACTGCAGAGACCTGGGCAAGGAGAGTCGGGGCAGGAAAGGCTCTCCTGAGGGATTTTGAATTTGGCCTGATCCTGTCTTTGACAAGAACTGTCTAATCCGGTTGCAGGATTCTGGCTTGGCTCACTTGGGATTTGTTCATGCTCAGATCTGAGGCCCCCGCCCTGCCAGCTGAAGTGAGTCTCGCAGCTCCCCTGTCCCCAGTTAGGGGAACTTCAATGTCAGGCGGAGCGCTGAGAGCCGTTTCTGCAGCCCCCACTAGGGGGCAGTCCCAACTCCTACCCGTCTCCTTTCTGTGCTGAGTCCCTTGGGCGAGAGAAAGAGGCACGAGCTGACCTTGGACAAACTAACATCGAGGTCCCAGGGGCAGGCAGCAGCCCCCAGCTTCCACTCCCTGCCTCCTTGCCAAGGGGGCTCGCTGGATCTCCAGCAGCCAGTCTCTCCCTGCCAGCCGCCCGTTCTTATTCTCCACTTCCGCCTCCATTTTGCAGGGCAGGTTGGGGAAAGCAGCATTGCTTAGATTCGCTCTCCTCTTCAGTCGCCCTAAAAGGAAGGTGCTATTCCCCCCACTGTAAAGGCGAGGAAACCAGCTAAAATATGCTAGTATCCTGCGGAGGGGCTTCCAGCCAGCAAGACGCTCCCACTCTCAGCAGAATACCCCCACTCCACTCCCACGGCCTCCCCTTTCCCGCTTTCCCAAATTTCTGACTCCTCTGTCCTCAGAACCACAGGTCTCTCTTCCCAAGAGGTGCTGCCTTATGTGGCTCTCAGAGGAACTGAAGTGTCAAAGGAGAGAGTAGCTAAAAGCCAGGTTCATCCTGGGAGCCAGGGCTGGAAAGAAGAGGGTCCCGCCCACTATCAGAAGCCAAATGGCAGTCCCTGCGCAGGATATTTTCGGGGTTGAGCAGGAAGACCACAGAGGTACAAACCGAGGCTCAGCAAGGGGATGCCACGCAGTCCACCCCGGACTCCCTGTCTGCGCAGCTACATTGCTCCTGGCTCCTGCACATGCTGGGCGGGTCCATCACCTCTGGGTGGGGCTTCCTCTGGGCCCACTCTTGGCTGGAGATCAGGGACTTGAAGGTAATTAAGACATATCTTGCCCCGAGGGCTTCCCAGCATCGTAGGGCAGATGGGCACCCCAGTAGAGAATTAGGAACTAACTGGGCATCTGGAAGAAGGGCCTAGAACTCAGACTAGGAGACAAGATAGAGTGCCATCAGGGAAGGCTTCCCGGAGGAGGAAACCTCTGTGCTGAGCAAGTCAGCATAAGTGGGAGTAGGGTCAGCCAAGGCCTCTTTTTGGGTTGGGGGCCAATCGTTGCCACAAAGCCCTGATGGGCTGAGCAAGGAAGTGGAGAGGAGAGGAGGGCCCAGCCAGGTCCTGCAGGGCCCCGAAGCTGGGCTGGGAAGTCAGCACAAGCTGGGGTGGAGGCTCCGCTGAGCACTAATAGTGGGAGGCCAAGATCCTGGCCTGGAGCCTGCCACCAGCAGGACAGAGAATCTGTCCTGGGCTCTAAGCTTGGGGCAGGTCGGGCTGCCAGGGAGGTGTGAGGGTGGGAACCCGGGGAAAGGGGGGAAGCCTCCTCCAGGCGCGGGGCAGCTCTGGGCCCGGCAGCAGGCAGGCCTCGGGAAGGGCCTCGCTTTTCCTCCCTCCGGCCTCCCTGGTTTTCTCCTCACTCCCTGTCGCAAGGTCTCCGTCCAGGCTAGGGTTCAGTTCCCTGCTCCTCCTCTCCGTGCCCTCCCCCGCCTGATGGCCCCACTAGTGCTGTGGTGGAGGAGAGCTCCGAGCTGAAGAACTGAGTACAAAGCCCCCAGAGCTGGGAGCGAATCTCGGCCTTGCGTCTCGCGAGCTGTGTGGCCTACAGTAAAGAGTCCGACCTCTCTGGGCCTCAGCTTCCTCCGAAATGAATGCAGTCACGGAACGCGCCAACGCAGGAGGCACCCGGGGCATCTCCTCTCTTCTCGGGAGACTAGAGCTCTGGCGGCGGGGAGGGCGCGACCCCGCGGAATCCTCCGGCAGGGCGGGGCCTTCAGGAGGCTCCTGGGATCCACGGGAAGGAGCGGGCTTGGGAACGCGGAGGGAAACTGAGGCCGCAGAGGAGGCGGCGGTTGACAGAGCGCTGCGCCTGCCGACCCCGCGTGGGCGGCCCCACTCGAAAGGACCCGGGCTCCTTTTGTCTGCAGCGTCCTCGCCGCCGCCGCCTCTCTCCCTCCCTCCCTCCCGCTCTCGCCGCGGCCCCCGCCCTTCCCCTTTCCTCCCCTCCCTTCCTCTCCCCTCCCCTCCCCTCCCCTCCGGAGCGGCGGGGGCTGCGGCGTCGCTGCTGACACTGATCGGCCGCGGCCGCCACCGGGCGGAGGCTGCGCGGCGCAGACCCAGGCGGGCGGCCCGGGAGGGCGCGCGGCGATGGCGGCGGCGGCGGCGGCGGCGGCGGCGGCGGCGGCGGGCGGGTGGCGGGCGCGGCGGGCGCAGGGCCCCGGCTGAGCTGCGGGCCGGCCCGGATGGCGGGCGGCGCGGGCTGGGCGGGCGCCCCCGCGGCTCTGCTGCGCTCCGTGCGCCGCCTGCGCGAGGTGTTCGAGGTGTGCGGCCGCGACCCCGACGGCTTCCTGCGCGTGGAGCGCGTCGCGGCGCTGGGACTGCGCTTCGGTCAGGGCGAGGAGGTAAGCGGGCCCCAGCCGGGTCCCGGCCCCGCCACCCCTCCCCCAACTCCCCGCCGGGTCACCAGCGCGGCCCGAGGCGGCGGCCTCCCTCCTGCCCGCCCCTCCGCCGCCGGAGCCCAGGACCTCGGCCCCCTTCCCCGGGCATCCCCAATCCAGCCGTGCCCTCGCTTTTCCCCCGGCGCCCAAGTCCGGAGCGTCAGCCTCATGCCCAGGGTGGCCTCTGCGCCCACCTTCCCTCCGCTGCTGTTCGGGTCCTTCTGAGCCGTCTGCACATCCCCCCCGCGTCTGGGGAAGAGCGCTGTCAGAACCCGGCCCCAGACTCCCCACCCCACCACCCGCTGCGGAGACCGAGATGCAGGGATCTGTGTGCGCCCTGCTGGGCCGGGCCAGGGGGTGAAAGGGACAGGTAGGGGCGCTCCGCAGCCATGGCTCCTCGGCGGCACCCACCCTGCCCAGGAGCGGAAGGAGGATTCCCGGCCCAGTGCCGAGTGACCTCTCATTCAGGCTCTGCTGGGCAGCCGGGTTCGCAGCTGGCTGTGTTGGCTGCGGCAGGCCAGGCAAAGCCAGGCTCAGGGAGTGGTGGCTGAGCAGGGGCTTTCCTGAGGTGAGGCCGCGTCTATCTGGGGAAAGCAGGACTGCTGTGGATTGTTAACAGGTCTGGAAGCGGAGGGCTGGTGCCGCCAGCTGGGTGGATGGAGTCCTGTCACTGAACGCACACTACACCCGTGTCCTCTGGTGCCGCCGGCATGGGCACTGGGGACTGTGTCTTAAGGGGAGTACAGGACACCCACCTGGCTGGAATAGTCAGGGGTTTCCCCTGGACACAGAAGCCCTGAGAAGTGGGTTTCCAGGCCACCTAAGGCCTCGGCTCCCTCATGGGGCGGGGGTGGGGGGGGGTGAGACCGGGGCCACGGGCCTCAAGTGGGCACTGACTGGCATTGTGTTCCCAGGTCAGGCCAGGCATTTTAGAACATGGGGGAAGCTGGGTGATGGCCATATTGGGCCTGTGCCTCCGTGTCACCAGACAGTGGGAGGTGATGGAGAACATCTCTCCACCCACACCTGGGCATGGGCCAGGACCTGTGAGTTGCTGAGAGCAGTGGGCAGAAGACAGCGAGGCAGCTTCGGCGTTTGAGAACTCAGGTACCCACCCTAGGAAGCACCACTCCTGTGCCTATGAGAGCCCAGACTGCCCACTGCAGGTTTCTGCTGAGGGGCACTGCCTGCTGCCAGCATGACCCCTCTCCTTCCCCAAAGGCCAGTCAGGCCCTGCCTTTTTCCCAGTGGCTCCCATCTGGAGCAGGCTGAGCACACTTCTGGCATGTGGATGGCCCTGCTCCTTCCTCCCAGGACACAGGCTGCAGGCCTGGTAAAGAAGCCACCAGCTCTGGCTGCAACCTGGAGCTCTGGAACCACAGAGCCTTAGTGGTGGGAAGGGCCTCCGAGCAACCTCTGGCAGGGGCCACCAGCTTCAGCCACGTGCCCGGCGAGCTTCACCCACAGCTTCAGCCACGTGCCCGGCAAGCCTCACCCACTCCTCCCCAAGCTGGACAGCTCCTGCCGTGAAACTTCTCCCTCATACACTCTAGAGACAGACCTGCTTGGCACTCAGTCTTCGCAGTTCTGCACAGGGACTCACCTGGGCCTCTCTTCTTCAGGGCAGCCTTTTTTTTTTTTTTTAATTTTTTTATTGCATTTTAGGTTTTGGGGTACATGTGAAGAACACGCAAGATTGTTGCATAGGTGCACACATGGCAGTGTGATTTGCTGCCTTCCTCCCCCTCACCTATATCTGTCATTTCTCCCCATGCTATCTCTCCCCACCTCCCTACCACCCCGTCCCTCCCCCATTTCCCCCCAACGGACCCCAGTGTGTAGTGCTCCCCTCCCCGTGTCCATGTGTTCTGATTGTTCAACACCCGCCTATGAGTGAGAAGATGCGGTGTTTGATTTTCCGGGGCAGCCTTTAAATATTTGAAAGAAGCACTCCTGCCCCTTCTCTCCTTCCCAGCTCCCCACTCCCATTTTCCCTTCTCCAAGGCAAATACCCCGGATCCTGAAGTCCTATGCCATTTCCATATGACCCAGTAGCCAGATCTCTGGCTTCTGGCCCTAACGCTGCCATCAACTAATTCTGTGACTCAGTTTTCCTGGCAATAACACGAAAGGGCTGGACCAGGAGACCTCCCCCCGCCCCCCACAGCAGACTGTTCTAGCCTCAAGTCCTCACACATATGCACGAAGCTCAGGGTGGGGCTGCCTCTGAATGGGGCACTGCACACTCCACTCATATTAAGTTTCTGGCCACTGAACCCTCCAGGGATCTGTTTTAGAAAACTCTGCCAAGCCAGGGATTCCCCACCCTTGGGGGAGGGTCAGTGATTTCTTTCTTTTAAAAACATACTCTGAGATTACTACAGAGGCGGCGGATATGCCCGGCAGAAAACTGGAAATAGAGACAAGCAAAATACAAAAGTATGTGTCCTATCTGTCAGGCAGCGCCTCGGCGACGCTTCCATCAGAGCTTTCCAGAGCTGTTTTCGTGCTTATATGTCAATTTTCTCCAGAAAATGAGATCATACTGTGCATACTGTTTTGTAGTCTACTTTTATTTCTGGTAAATGATCATCACTTTTCTGCTTCAATAAATTTTCATCTCGTTTAATATGCAGACCTTTTTCAGATTCCCCTATTTGACCCCAAAATGTCCATTTTTGCCATTTCCTCTCCAGGACTGTGCAGTGTATGCGGTTGTTGTCACCTTTTGTTCTCTCTTACTGTACCACAATTCCTTTTTCTTTTAATAATCCGGGCTTGTGGAAGCAATTGGGCCTGTTGTCTGTGTCAATAATTTCTTGAATCTAAGCCTGTTACTTGACCCTTAATCCCATTTAATTTCATCTTGTTCATTTCATCACATTGTATCAGTCAAGAGAAAGAATCTAACATCCTACCTCTGTCACTCTCAGCTGTGCTGGTGCCTGTGGGCTGGAGAAGCAGTGTTTCGTGTGTCTGAATCCACAAGGCTGGTTAAAAATGCAGGGCAGGACCATGGACAGGGCCCCGAGGCTCACACAGTATTGACCAAGACCCATGGAAATAGATTTGGCATCTCTGCTCACCACCCATCACATCCATTGATGCATTACAAAATTGGAGTGTTATTTTTCCGGCCGGGGGGAGGGCTTCCTTACAAAAAGTGTACTCTGACAGTTTCTATTTCATTTGTTTAAAAATCAGGCATCGACCCTGATTTCCCAGCTGCTTGGTGCCCCTGGGGTGGATAATGATCATTTATTAGATATGGGGTTCAGTGAACCTAGAGCTGATTGTCCACAGTTTACCACCTACCCCCAGAATACCAGGGATACCAGAATCAAATGCTTTGCAGAAACCAAAATGTACTAGGTCGAGGTCATAGGTATGAAATAAATATCCATGAGGCCATAATGAAATATACATATATATATTATTGAACAATGAATAATTAATAAGTAAGTAATAGGAAAATCTCTCATATAGAAGAAATCCAAATAACATATGTTGATAATTGCTCCATTGAGGAAGTGAAGCAAAACTTCCCATCTATAAGCATGAGATGATCATAGTGGTTTCCTTATAAAGGATAGAGTTTGGAAAATGGGGGGAAGGGCAACTGTGCAGTGGAAAAACTCAAGAAACACTGTCTCAGAAAGTGATCAAGGCCAACATCAATAGCGACAAATTATGATGATGGCATATACCCTTGGTGTGATGTGGTGAGAATAGACCTTTTCCTTTGTGGTCTTCCTCCCAAACCAGTAATCTCAGTGTAGTCATGAGAAGAATCCCAACTGAGAGGCATTCTGCAAAATACCTGATTAGTACCTCTCAGAATCGTCCAGGTCATCCAAAACAAGGAAATGCTGAGACACTGTCACAGCCAAGTGGAGACTGAGGGGGCGGGATGACTAAATATAGCATCATTGATGGGATCCTAGAACCAGGAAGAGGACATTAGGTAAAAACAGGAAGTCTGGACCAAGTGTGAACTTTAATTAATAATGTTATTTATGGGCCGGGCACGGTGGCTCAAGCTTGTAATCCCAGCACTTTGGGAGGCCGAGGCGGGTGGATCACGAGGTCAAGAGATCGAGACCATCCTGGTCAACATGGTGAAACCCCGTCTCTACTAAAAATACAAAAAAATTAGCTGGGCATGGTGGCGCACGCCTGTAATCCCAGCTACTCAGGAGGCTGAGGCAGGAGAATTGCCTGAACCCAGGAGGCGGAGGTTGCGGTGAGCCGAGATCGCGCCATTGCACTCCAGCCTGGGTAACAAGAGTGAAACCCTGTCTCAAAAAAAAAAAAAAAAAAAAAAATGTTATTTATGGATTAGTTAGTCCCTGAAATTTCCCTGCTATGTTGACCTCGGCATCACAGCAGAAAACAGGAGACAATGGGCCAGGGCCAGGCGCAGTGGCTCATGCCTGTAATCCTAACACTTTGGGAGGTTGAGGTGGGAGGATCGCTGGAGCTCAGGAAGTTTGAGGCCAGCCTGGGCAACATGGGGAGACCCCATCTCTACAAAAAATACAAAAATTAGGCCAGGCGTGATGGCTCACGCCTGTAATCCCAGCACTTTGGGAGGCCGAGGCGGGTTTCGAGGTCAGGAGATGGAGACCATCCTGGCCAACACGGTGAAACCCATCTCTACTAAAAATACAAAAAAAAAAAAAAAAAATTAGCTGGGTGTGGTGGCCCATACTTGTAGTCCCAGCTACTTGGGAGGCTGAGGCAGGAGCATGGCTTGAACCCAGGAGGCAGAGGTTGCAGTAAGCCAAGATTGCATCACTGTACTCCAGCCTGATGACAGAGTGAGACAACAAAATATCTGCATTTCTTTCTTTTTCCCCTTTTTTTTTTTTTTTTTTTTTGTGGCAACAACAACAAAAAAGAAAGAAATGCAGGTTTTTGAGGGATGGAGGCGCACCACTGCCCTGACCTGAAAGTCGACAATG